AGTTTGTTCTGAGGCTCAAGCAAACGTATTAATTATTGTTACTAACTACTTTTCGATTAAAATAATTAATTAAAATCAATATTTTAAGCCTTTCGATTATTTGTCAATTGCAATTTACAATATTTTAATTTGAAATTGTTATCAGAATGGAGCGTCAATTTCTATATAGCTAGGCAGCCCAAACCGCTGTTGGCTAGGAGACCGAAATTTGTACTGTAGTATGTTATGTGTTTCTAGGAAATTCCAACTACAAACCAAAAATATCGTGAAAAACAGTTTTGACATCATATCGGCCTCAAACTTGATTTAAAAAATATTTTTTCACATTAATTTTGGGGGTGTTTACCACTTTTCAGAAAATCCATTCCTACTTGTTCTTATACCCTGAACCCATTAAAAATGGGTATAAGGGTATATTGTATTTGTGTAAAATCCAAACGTATGTAACAGGCAGAAGGAAGAATCTCCGACCCCATAAAGTATATATATTCTTGATCAGCACCAATAGCCGAGTCGATCTAGCCCTGTCCGTCTGTCCGTCTGTCCGTATGTATGAACGCAGGGATCTCAGAACCTATAAGAGCTGGAGACTTGAAATTTAGATGTAGGTGCTCCTAGTGCCTGCGAAGATCGAGTTTGTTTCCGATAATCGATAACTTACTTCGTTTCCAAGCAATCGATAAAAATCGATATCGATATCACCAAACTTGACATATAGCTTCTAAAATTGATGTTTGAAGAAGAGGGTTCAGGGTATCCTCTAGCGGGAGCTCCCGACTAGAACCTCTTACTTGTCTTTTTATTTTTCACTTATTTGTAGTCTGTCTAGTGGATAAATCACTATCATTTTTGTGTGGAGGTATATTTCCTAACCAACAGTTCCGTTGGACTGAAGGTTTGCATTGCGGTTTGTCGCCAATTATGCAAGTTGTGTTTACGATGAATCCATTAATTGTGTCAATAGGCGTCTTGCGAAATCCAATGTTCTTGGTATCCTGGTGGCGGACACAGCGTGAATCGATGTTCGGCTCCACTTAGTAATAAGACAAATGATTTAATGTATCGACCTAAGCTAAAACCTTAAACAGAACTAAAATTAAAACCATCAGCGAGCTGAGTGATAAGCTACAGAAAAGGCACAGGCGATATTGACTGACTGATTGGTGATCATCGCACAGCCCAACCCGTAGGTGCTAGGAGGAAGAAATTGTCACTGCAATAACCTTATGTGATGAAATTCCACGTTAAGACGGGGTTTCGGGAAATTCCACCCGCAACCGTAGAAATATCGCGAAAAACGTTTATATGAAACTTTTTTGTTTACCATCCGATCGGCCTCAAACTCAATTTTAAAGTTCATTGTTCCATTTCAGGGGGGGGGTGTTTTACACTTTTTACACAAATCCATCCCTCCTTGGTATAAATAGAGGTCAAAGATTTGGTGGGTTACATTTCGCGCTCAAATTCATATCCAAGGATCTATATGAAAAATCATTTGGGAAGTCTTTCACATTTTTCGCAGAATCAAAGCATTCTCGGTAGAAATGCGATTCTAAGACTTTTTTGGTGAAGTTTTATGTTTTGTCCTATTTGCTTCAAACTTATTTTCAGAGCTCTCGAAACGAAGTCAATAAATACATGTCTCAGCGATTTGGGAAATTTCGCCCACAACAGTGGGTAATTGATGAAAAATGTTCGTATGAAACTTTATTAGGTTACCATCCGGTCGGGATCAAACTCATTTATAAAAAAAATGTGTTCAAATTAATTTGAGGGGTGCTTCGCACTTTTAGAAAAATCTATTCTTTCTTGGTGGAAATGGGGTCTACGATTTGGTGGGTGATGTTTTGCCCTCATATTCGTTTTCAAGGATCTACATAAAAAATCGTTTAAGACGTGTTTCACATTTTTCGTAGAATCTAAACTCCGGTGGAAAGTGCATTTTAAAGATTTGTTTGGTGAATTTTAAGTTGTGTCCGATTTGCATCAAACTTATTTTCGAAGCTCTACATAAGAATATTATGAATATGTGTTTTGCGATTTGGGAAATTTCACTCGCAAATGTCGTAAAATTGCGGAAAAAAAAATGGAAAACGGGAGGTATACGAATCACTGGCAACTAAAAACCTACTGTAAATTCTTAAATGATCATTGATGGGCATCCATTGTGCTCGTACATTTTGATGTGACTAATGCATATTCCCATTTACGCATTGATCACGAATTCATTCACGAACTGACATTAAATACGGTCTCACTCGACCGTCTCGTGCAACATTAGAAAAATTACAGAACCTAGGATTTAAGTTATAAAAAATCAAAATGTGTACTCGCCGCATTTACGGTTGAATTTCTGGGACACAAGATTGACGCAGAATGCATACAAAAATCAACTAAGCATTTTGAGGCCATCTTAAAAGCACCCAAACCATCTACAATCGAAACACGTGCACCTGTTTCTTGGAAAAGCAGCTTACTACTTAAATTTCAAACCAAATCTGTCAACTCTGGGAAGCTGGCGATATACTTATAGGACGGAAATTCTACTGGTCAGAAGGGACGGAATTAGCTTGACAGAATCAAACAAAGTCTAATTTTACAGCAAAGGTGTTATGACCCAACACTTCGCTTGGAAAATGGTGGCAAAAGTCCAATTGCATATGCAAGCTGTACAACACAACCGGAAGCTTTAGCAATTGCATGGGTGTACAACAATTCTTCAAATATTTATATGCCAGAAGTTGGATATTAGTTACCGATAACAAGCCACTCGCACAACTTCTACACCTTAACAAATCACTACTGACACTATGCATTTTTAGGATGGCAAACTATGCAAAACTATTTAGGCATCTTAAATTTTACAGTAATTGCCAAATACAGAATTGACAATTAAGTATGAGAATTGCAACTTTTGAAATGTACGTCGCTTCCACAATTTAAGAGCTAGTAATTTAGTAGCAAGCGGCAAATGATCTGCAAGATTTACCGGGCAATAAGACAATGGTAAATAAAACGTAAGTTATGTTCTGTAAACTTTTTGTTATTTTGTGGTAGTGATTTGGTCAGAGGAGGAAGACCATGCTGTGATCCTTCGCTAATGGAAGAATAACTACATAGTCAAAAAAAGCAGAGAAACAAATGTGGGCTCCCTAAGCTTCAAAGTTCAAAATAAATTAAAGAAATAATAACAACCTATTAATTTAAACATCATATATATTTTTTTGTATACCCTGAACCCATTGAAAATGTGTAAAAAGGGAATAATATTTTTGTGCAAATGTAAATGTATTCCTTTAGGCAGAAGGAAGCAGTTCGTCGTTATGTATGAACGCAATGGTCCTCCTAGTGCTCGCGCTGTACGAGTCTATTTTCGATATTCGATAACTTTCCCCGTTTCCAACTAATCGATAAAAATCGATATCGAAATCATATTTTTTTGAGCAAATCGTTTTGGTATTTAGAGTCACTAAACTTGACAAGAAGCTTTTAGAATAAAATATATATATCAAGTATCTTTCATTTTATTGCTATCGCCAGGTCCCCACTATCGCCACATAGCTTTAAATCAAGTAAATAAACAATCTTAAATGCAATTGACTTTTTGAGAATATACAAATGTTCCTGAATGTAGGGCATAATGTATTTGTGCAAATGTATGTAACAGGCAGAAAAAAGCATCTCCGACCCCATAAAGTATATATATTCTTGATCAGCATCAATAGTCGATCTAGACATGTCCGTCTGTCCGTATGTGGGAACGCACAGATATGAGAACCATTAAGAGCTGGAGACTTGAAATTTTAGCTGTAGGTCCTCATAGTGCCTGAACAAATCGTGTTTGTTTCCGATAATCGATAACTTACTTCGTTTCCAAGCAGTCGATAAAAATCTATATTGACATCCTGTTTTTTGAGCAAATTGGATAAATATTAGGAGCTAGAGCCACCAAACTTGATATAGTATATAAATATCAAGTATCTTTCATTGTATACCTATCGCTACCTCCCCGCTACTTCCACATAGCTATAAATCAAGTTAATAACCCAGCTTGTATTGCCCACGAATTCAAGCCACAATTTAAATGCAATTTACTTGTTGGGAATACACAAATATTCTATGGTACAATAAGATATACTGTAGAAGATTTTATAAAGAACGGTTAACAAAGCCCAATAGTTATGAGCTTTACTGCGCAATTGGATGGGGCAGCTAGAGCAAATTCCAAGACTTTCTGTATACATATACACACACACATTCATGCACGTCTGCTTCAAATTCTATCAACAGCATTGCAATTTCGATTCTTTTCTTAGCTGCTATTTTAGTTCGTTTATTTTTCTCATTAAGTCTGAATTATAGGTGTGGCTGTTGAGTAGAGGCAGTGGCAAATGGTGCGGTCAGTCTCGAGTGCGAGCCCTACCGGGGACCATATGGTTTTTTTTTGTGGCTGGTGTGGCTGCTGAGTAGATTCCGCAGCAAATAATGCGGTCAGTTGCGAGTTCGAACCCTGCCAATGGAGTTTTTTGTATGCCCTGAACACATTGAAAATGGGTAAAAAGGGAATACTGTTTTTAATTTATTGTTATTACTTCAAACATGCGCGTAGCGCGTGCTGCATTTGGTGTTGGAATAAGAGGGTTCAAGGTATTCTCTAGTCGGTAGATCCCGACTAGAACCTCTTATTTGTTTCCTTATATGTAGCTCTGTTTGCACCGCACATACCTACCTTGTTAATGCTCAGTATCAATTGCATTGAATCATCAGCAAAAATTTAACTGTAAAATTTACATTAACTTATCATACAACTCAAGACAAAGAACAAAGCTATATGATATATACCTATATACCTTTTGATTTTTATTATAATATGCTTAAACATTAAAACCTCACTCTATATTTGAAGTAAAATTAATTTAGCCTGTCCTCTAGCTACCAATCACATCTGTCAAGTACTTACACCCTGAACATGAACTTAAACCATATAAATCTCTTTGCAGCGTTCGAAGCGTTATGTACAAATACCTTGAGAAGGAAAACGAACTCAACTTCCACAACATTTTTAATCAGATTATAGGTATTCAAAATTTTATAAGATCCCAATCTGCATGATAATAACTTTTATATCCTCCATAGGCTACTTGTTGTTTAAGGACTTCTGCGAGAATGATTCTGATGAACCTATTCAACAGTTAAAGTTTTATGAGCAGGTATTACCATTTTGTATGACTATAATAAGTGCATTATATTTTGAATTGATTGTTCCTTTCAAGATAAAAAACTTTGAAAAAACCGAGTGTTATGAGGAGCGAAAAAAAATGGCTAGAGAAATATATGATAATTTTATAATGGAAGAAATGCTGTCACACACATATGTAAGTACTCAAACCGAAATAAAAGCCTAATAACACATTTTATTATAGGAATACTCGAAAGATGCCGTCGCTAATGTCCAAAAGTATTTATTGAAAAATGAAGTTCCTGTCAATTTATTTGAAGTAAGTTTTAAAGAGAATTAAATTTTTGTTGGCTTCTCTATTTAACTATATATGACTTAATATTTCTAGTATTACATAATATACACCTCCTCAAATTTCAAAATCGGTATACTTTCAAAAAAACAACGTTAGGAAAGTTTTAAAGAGATACATGGGTGTAACTTCACTTTTTATGACTATTACAACAGTTTTAAATTTGTTGTAGTTGTTGGTAACTATAAAAGGATTCATTTTAAAAATAACGATAAGAAATATATGAGCCACTGTTCATACCCAGAACCTATTGAAAATAGGTATAAGGGTTTGATGGTCTTGTTAAAGTGTTTGTAACTGGTAGGAGGATACGTTCTCTACCCCCAGAAAGATTTTATAATAGTCTTGATTCCAGATTCCTATAAGAGATAAAGAAATTTGTAATTCGGATCATTTCGATTATCGACAGCCGATTTAGAAACCAAGTGTTTTATATTTCCACAATTATTTTATTTTTTTTTGCTTGAATACCATCCCTGTTTTTAACCGTGAATAGTAACTGAGTTAAGTTTGTCAGCTGTTCCGTTAACTCACTCAAAGTAACAATAAAAAACAAGTAAGAGGTTCTAGTCGGGAGCTCCCGACTAGGGGATACCCGGAACCCTCTTCTTCCAACATCAAATGCATATATATATTCTATTTTAGAAGCTATATGTCAAGTTTGGTGACTCTAGCTCTTATTATTTACCAAAATTGCCCAAAAAACATGATATCGATATCCGTTTTTATCGATTGCTTGGAAACGGAGTAAGCTATCGACTATCGGAAACAAACTCGATCTTCGCAGGCACTAGGAGCACGTATATCTAAATTTTAAGTCTCTAGCTCTTATAGGTTCTGAGATCCTTGCGTTCATACATACGGACGGACGGACGGACGGACAGACAGACAGACGGACACGGCTAGATCGACTCGGCTATTTATGCTGATCAAGTATATATATACTTTATGGGGTCGGAGATGCTTCCTTCTGCCTATACATAACCAATGTTTGTATAAGGTAAGATTTTTCAGTCAACTGGTTTTTACAGTACGGAAGATGTATGTAAATTAAGAAGTTCTGTCCCGGACTGTTGAAGAATGCCTACAATGCCTACAAAAAAAAGAGTTAATGCCGAGATTGGTCAAAATATCTTGAAAAACAAAAAAGGTTTATAATCAAAAACCTAGTTTTCCACTGATCGTTCCTATGTCTGATATATGATATAGTAGTCATAAGTTAATAGGATTTTGCACGTATATGAGGAGCTTAGTAAAACTAATAAATGCCGAGTTTGGTCGAGATATCTTGCAAAACAAAATGTTTATACATACAACTTAATTTTCGACCGATCGTTCCTATGGCAGCTATATGATATAGTGGTCCGATCTTAATAGGATTTTGCATTTTTATGAAGAGCATAGTATAATTAATAAATGCAGACTTTGGTCAAGATATCTTGAAAAAAAAACATTTTTTTCATACAACAACTTAATTTTCGACCGATCGTTCCTATGGCAGCTATATGATATAGTGGTCCGATCTTAATAGGATTTTGCATTTTTATGAAGAGCATAGTATAACTAATAAATGCCGACTTTGGTCAAGATATCTTGAAAAAAACATTTTTTTTAATACAACAACTTAATTTTCGACCGATCGTTCCTATGGCAGCTGTATGATATAGTGGTCCGATCTTAAAAGGATTTTTCATATATATGAGGAGCTTAGTAAAATTAATAAATGCCTGGTTTGGTCAAGATATATTGTAAAACAAAATGTTTTTTCATACAAAAACTTAATTTTCGACCGATCGTTTCTATGGCAGCTATATGATATAGTGGTCCGATCCAGCTAGTTTTGTCATATGTGCTGCGTTCAACAAAAATAGGGACTTTTGCAAAGTTTCATTAAGATAGCTTTTAAACTGAGGGACTAGTTCGCATAGAAACAGACAGACGGTCAGACGGACATGACTATATCGACTCGGCTCTTGATGCTGATCAAGAATATATATACTTTATGGGGTCGGAGATGTCTCCTTTTATGCGTTAAACATTTTACGATAAAATTATAATACCCTCTGCAAGGGTATAAATTGAAAGTATATTTATTGAAAGTCAGATATGAACTAAAACAGAGTTGAAGTATTGAATTGGATCAGAGCCCAAAGGCTGGCACATAAGTCTCAGCTGCTATATCCGGCAACCGAATCAGCATACGCCAACACAGTCGCTTGCTATATAGGCAAGTGACTGGTTACCGCTGCTGGTCGCAGTGCCCGGGCACTGAACTCATGCGTCAGCAGAATGTCGCAATGTAAGCAAAGTGCACTGCAACATTTTTGTGTGTGAAAAATGTGTTCTTATGACATAAAAATGAAGTGCAGTTCTTATGTATTAACTTCTCCCCCCTTATGATCGTCATCGTTTATTTTATAGCTGTTAATGGCCTCTTGTACCACCTTCGATACTTGTCTTCTCTTTACAATTTTCGAAACGACGATAAAGCCAATGCCAACGACACTGTGGATGATGCCTGCTGCAACCCCAATCTTATGTGACCAGGCGGCCTTCATTTCGTCTTTGAACTTTTTGATGACGAGCAGATTGGGGTTGTTCATCCTCTGGTGTTGGGGCTTAGCACTGGATCGTGGCTGATGATGGCGATCTGGCTCGCCCTGGTTTACATATTTTGTGCAGTTGATTGTGGCCGAAGAGAGGCACGTGACGAGATGCGTCCAGGTTTTAGTAATCTCTGGACCAACGTCTGTGCTGACCTTGGTGATAATGCCGTCATCGGCTTGTGTGATGGGCTTCAGGTGGCTTGGCTGCGTGCGTCAAAGGTCTGTGCTGCAAGCGTGCAATGCTTGCGCTGCCAACTTACAGACGGCGGTGTAGGTCATCGTTTCGAATTCATTGACCGCTAGAATGTCATTGTCGCATTCGGTATGTCGCATATGGTATCATCTTGTAGCTGTAGTGTGAAATTGTTGGCGTGCCACCGGGAAGATGGTGATTTTCTTGCATATGAGCTTAACCATAGGATACGGTATTAATATATCAACAATGTTCTCGGACTGGAGGACCTTGATTTCAGACACTTCGGTTAGGCTAACTATGATAATTTCAACAGGGTGTTCATTTATAATTGATTTCAAATCATTGTGGTCAAAAATAGCGGGAGTTATTATAGCCGCTTTAGCTAGTGTAATTGTGACTATCAAGTTTATATTTGAATTGTTAGTATTCTGTTTCTGGCTAATAGTGTTTCATACAAATGCGGTGTGTCAACCAATTCATTACTTTTAGCTTTAATTATTTCGTTCCCCGTGTCGTTGAGTTTATTAATTTGTGTCTGTGTTTGTGTATTAATGAATACCTGCCTACCTTACTTTTTCGAAATCAGAGGCGTCTGGCGTGCCTGCTATTACATTGAGTGCTGAATCCAGGAAGTCTAAACTTCTTGGCATTCTGTGATGCACTTTAACTACGGACAATAGATTTCTGCTATGCTCTGTATCCCCGTCTAGCCGTTTTCCCATGTGCGACTGAGGGAATAATTTGGTTATTTTACTGTTTCATCTGCTGTGCTAGCAAGGTCTGTTCAATTGCTTGAGTACCTCAGAAAATCGCGTTGCTCCCATACCAGTACCTTTCCGTCGATTACGGGGATATAGTTGGACTGGGAGTAGTTTCTCATCCGACCATGTATTACTCCTAACACTAGTACGATTACAGTGCAATCCTCTAAAAATAAAAGAAGCTAAGAATAAATTGTTGTGCGCTTAAACCCTTAAAATACTATTTTAGCTTCTGTGATTTTTACTTGAGAGCAACAATCATTTGAGGTTGTCCTTATGGACCACCCTCCCTCTAATAAGAACAGAAGTTCCCAAAGTCTGCTTGAACTGTTTCTTCTGTGCAAAGCGGTGTTAACTCATCCTCCTAATCTTCTTTTTACGAAAACTCTTTCGCCTACCTCAAATGCACTGTTTTGTCTATTCGGGTTGGATATTTCAATGTAATCGGGGATTTTCCAATTTTATTTTTAATGGCTTGCCCAAGTTCTTTATTATGTCGATGGGTGTCTAGTCTGTGACGGAAAGTATGGATCGGTTGTACGCGATTGTTGCCTTTAGTATCAATTCGACTGTATCTTCAGACATTTTTTTTAAGCTAAATGCTCTGGCTATGTCTGCGAATGTGCTGTGAAAACGTTTAAAAATGTCGACGTCGTACCCGTTTTTCAACAGCGATCTGATAGTTTCTGAATTAAAAAAGCTTCATTATCACAATAAAGTGTCTTGGTCTGTGGGAATAAATTCAGACAATTTCGATTTGTTCATGTTTATCTGTAATGTCGACCACTATATTTGTGTTGATGGGTGGCCTGATTGTTTCGAATAGGGTGTTTTTGTGTGTGATGTTTATAAGGCGGCGTATTTTTTGGCCGAGTATAACTCGTATCAATGGAAATTTCGCTTTTTCAAGAACAATTTGATTTTTTAAGCAGTTTGAAAGCCTTTTAGTCGTTTCGATCGTGTAGGTTAATGACATTTCGCTGTGAATTGTTGCAGCGTCTGACTGTATATCGTTGTGTAAGGCGTTTACTTCTTGCAGGGCATCCGCCACGTAATTTTTGTTGCCTGGTTTGTTGAACACTTTTGCGTTGTGTTCATCAATGAATGCCTTCCATCGATTGATTTTTGCATTCGTATTTCTATCTGAGACAGCAAAAGAAAGGGGCTGATGATCAGTGAAAATATTTATATCTCTTATCCCATAGTAATTTTGCAGTTTACCTAAAGCCCAGACAATATATAACAATTCTCATTCATTCGTGGCGTAGTGTGTCTCGCTTTGCTTTAACGTACGTGAAATTATGGAAATAGGTCTGCCCTCTTGGGATAGGGCTTCACCGATGCCATCCATTGAGGCGTCAGTAGTTAGGTCAAAAGGCTGCTTGAAGTCTGGATACATGACTA